CTCAACTTCACCCTCCTCGCCTTCTTTCAGCTTCTCTGCGCCTGCTCGTGTCTCTTGCTTGTGCCTCTCATTCCTGTCGGCTCGCTCCTTTTCTACTCGACCGAGCAACTCGATCACCACCTTCTCCACCCGCAACTCTCTGCGGTGCGGTCTTGGTGCTCCATCAGGCGGCCTGTACGTCTCTCAAGATGGCAAGCAGTGGGCCAGTTGGTGTCGTCTCCATGCGATTACGCCAGCTGCTCGACAATCGGCTGTGCACACCTCTTGTGCTCACGCGTATCAACAATTGCGTCGTGTTTGCGTCGTTCTTCCACGCGCTGGGGTCACCATTTTTGCTGTGGTTTGTGCTCGATCATCACGAACGGTTATTACGGCATCCGCTCAAGCTGAATGGCGAGTTACAAGATGTTGAGGAGTTGGAAGATGGTGACTATGACCGTGTCGAGATTGACCTGATCGAACAGGGGTCCAACTACATGCAAAAGGTACGTCTGAATTGGTAGCTATTCAAAAAAAAATTGTTGTGATCAAATAACTGATTCTGGTGTTGCATTTTTCAATTTTCTGATAACAGCTTGCCAACACGATTTCAGTTCCGCAAGGCACGACTCAACCAGTGCTTGGTTTTGCAGGCGCTGACATGAGTAAACGTGGGCTCAACAAGGAGTTTTTTCGGCCATACCACAACAGCCGTGTTGCCGCAGAACCAGTCTTGAATCGCTCGGGGGGATATGTGCATGTGCAGAATGGTGTTGCTGACAAGTGGTTCACTGATTTGAGCAACTACTTCAAGGAAGTGGGCAGTTTTCCTGAACTTCAAGCTGACCCGGACTCGGACGATGGTGCAGCAGCGATTGTGCAGCTTGTGGATGTGATTCTGGGCACAAGTCCTAGCCGGCGCAACATCCAGCAGCGCTTTGTTGTGCAAGCAGCGACTCTTTTCGCCAAGTACAGGGTTTTTGTTGCACAGCGTGAGCAGGATCCGCAGTACCAGGTCCAGGAAATGGGGGAACAGGATGTGGGCTCGCTCAATGACATGGGCATGATTGACAAGGAACGATATGACCAACTTGAACTTGACAAGGCCATGGATGATGACGACGACCAGCAGGAGCAGGTGGTACCAGCTGTGTTTCCGATTCCTCGGGTCATCCCAATCCCAACAAGTGATAACCCTGTCTTGACCAAGGAGGAACGGCATGCTCACCGCAATGTCGTGCACAACAAGCGGGTGGAAGCGCGTCGTGCAGAAGGGCCAGGAAAGCCAAGTCGCAAGCGTGGGCGAAAGCGCAATCAGCATGATCAAGGACCAGCAGCTAGAACTGGTGGCTCCAGTTCAGGTCTCAACACGTCGCAAGGAGTGCAGCAGCAGTACTCGTGCAAGGGCGACACGAAGGAGCGGCTGTTGTCACCACATTTTGACTTAGAAAGTGGATCGGATTCCAATCAACCAAGATTGGTGCGCATGCCCAAGGAACAGCTCAATGAGCTTGTGCATGATTGGCTCGTCCGGATCTACACAGAGATTGCGCGTCTCCGGCGTGATGACGTGCGGCAACGTTTCATGGCACCAATCAATAATTGGATCCAGCTGGTCAAGGTGGTCAAGTCACTGGATGATGCAGCGCATGACTTGGCTGCACTGGACTGTGGGGTTCAGCCCAAGCCACATGTCGCATTGGACCGTGATCATGTTGTGCTTTATCTGGTGCACACGCCAACGATTGTGCCCAATTTTGCAGCACATCGTGTGTTTGTGGACATCACGACAACGATCACGGACCTTTGCATCCTGGCAAACACGATTGTCAATGGTGAAAAGGAGCATGCCATGGAAGAAGTCGAGGCCCAGAACCAGATGCATGGCACAGCAACGACATGGGATGACGTTCTGGCGGATTTCCAGGCGTTGCGGCAAGATTTTGCACGGGATCGAAGCACCATGCCACTGTTGCACAAGCAGTACCGAAACCTCGACTATGTCCCGAAGACAAGGGGCAAAAAGGGCGAGAAGGCCAAGGTTTCGAGGGACAAGAAGTTGCAGGACGACAACGAGTTGATTCTTGATTGGAATGGCAAGATTGACCACAAGTCGTTCAAGACTGATGGATACACGGCACAACTGTTGCGTTTGCACACCAACGACGCGGTTGCACATGCAAAGGCACTTGGTGGCGAGCTCAAGATTGATAAGTGGACCAAGCATGGGTCACGCACCAAGAACCGACGCAATGCAGCCCGTGGTTCGCTCAAGGCGGGTGGGTTTGACGAGTTTGCGCCATTTACGCTCAAGAACGTGAATCTCGCACATTATTCCGGAATACGTGTTATTGACCCGGGTCACCGCAGCTTCCTGACTTGTTTCGAGGCCAGCTGTGCTGAAGTGGAGGATTTTCTCGACCCCAATTTGGACATTGATGTGAACCTGGTGCTCGAAACGTGGGACAAGCAGTCGGGACCAAATTTGATCGGTTCCATGTTTTGGGACTTGTCGGGCTCACGTGCGCGGTATTGGAAGGGCGACGCAGCGCACAGCAAGGCCTTGACTGAGTTTTTTGCCAATGATGCAATCCTTGCCGCCTACATGCGCAACAAGCCGACGCTCAAGACATGCAATATTGACGATGCGCATGCGGCTATTTCGTACATGAGCGCGAACTTGTACAAGGTCATGACGCGTGTGCTCGATAACCGTTTGGCCAAGCTCAAGTTTCGCAGGACCAATCGCGAGCGTGCGTTTTGGGACTCACTTGTTGACCGGATTGGACGCCCACTCGACAACTCGGGCTTGCCACCTCTCATCATGCTCGGAAATGCAGGCTCGTGCAACCCGTTTGGGATCACCATGCCTGTCAAGCAGTTTGCACGCCGACTCATCCATGCTGGTCTACATGTGATGCTTGTTGACGAGTATTGGACCAGCAAGACGTGTGCCAAGTGCGGCCACAACATGGAGCAGATCAAGAAGGCCTGGGGGTCGAAGCGCTGCCACTATTGCAAGCGCATCCGTGCACGCGATCGGTCGGCTGCATTCAATATTTTTCGGAGTGGAGTGCGGGATGGCTTGACAGTTGAGGTGCCTCCGCACTGGCTGCACCACCCGCTTGCGCGCGCAACGTGGCGCGTGCAGGACGAGGACCAACAGGATGACGATGACATAGCCGTCGCCCCTGGCGACGGGGGTGGAGATGGCGATGATGGACATGGTGATGAAAGTGATCATGACCAAGGCCCTGGTGGTGGAGGCGGTACTGACGGCGACACGGACGATGGCGCCAACGACGACGATCTCGCTGAGCAAGGGGATACCAAGGAAGAGAAGGGGGACGAGGGCGGGGAAGAGGAAGAGGACAACGGCGAGGATTCCGACAACGGCGGGAGCAGCGGGAGTGGCGACACTCAAGACGATGACAATTCCGACGATTCTGAGGTGGATGCAAGTGCGACGGCCATCGCTTTGAAAAGCACGAAATCGGCATATGTACCTCGGCAACGCGCGCAGCCACTGCCACCGACGAGGAGAACTTCCACGCGCTCGGCAAGCACCGGCACTCGGCACTTTACACATGGCACGACGACTCGACACGCGACAACGGGGGCCATGCCGCGCAGTGCTCGGTTTCGAGCTATGACCGGTGTCGCGACATCAGGGCCACCACTACCTCCGCCTGGGCCTGCGAAGCCAGCCACGGCCCCGACACCGAAATTGAAGCCAGCCGGCTTGCATGCGCGGCTGAAACGGCCCAAACGGTGGCTACCAGAACCGACTGAGTCGCCTGCACCCAAGGTTGACCATGGTCATGACGCGCTGACTTGGGCTCGCCCGCGCGGTCAAGGTCACACCAAGACGGCAGCTCGGCCGCCGCCACGGATCGCCCCACTGGCACTGGCCGTGGACGAGGCACCAGCTCGGTCCAGGAAAAGCACCCGTGACACGCAGACAGTGGTTGCAATCAAGTCGACCAAGCCGTTGGTCACGGCAGCTGCACGCGCGAGTACCCGCGCAGTGGCAGCAGCGGCCTCAGCAGCGATTACGCTGCAATACGGACCACTAGAACCACGCCCGAGTCGCACCGCCCCCGTTCTTTCACCACCCCCGAAGCCGTCAGGCGCGACGCCCGCACGCGCAAGTAGCCGTGCAGCGGCAGCTGCGGCCTCAGCGGCGATTACGCTGCAATACGGACCGCCGATCCCGATTCTCCAAGAACGTTCTGGCTCGAGTCGCGGCGCGTTGCAAACCCTCTCTGGTCGCCGTCGGCAAGGTTCCGAAGATTCGGCAAGCCCAAGCCCGAGCAATACGGCAGTGCCATCAGCGCGCGCGACTGGGAACCCGGTGACAACCGCACGGACGGCACGGAAACGGACAAGGGCAGCAGCCACGTCGTCGGATCGCGACAATAACGGCAGCATGGAAATGGAAACCGATCCGTCTTTTCATGCTGCTTCCCGCCGTCGCACGCACACTCAGGCCGCATCGTCATCGAGTAGCAGCATGAGGATGTCGTCGCAGCATGCTCGCCGCCACACGTACGACGACGACTTTGACGTCTTCGCCATGGACGTAGACCGCTAGTCGGACAGCGACTACCGCGGTGGCGACAAGGAGTGATGATGAGAGTGACGACAGGAGCAGTGAAGCGGATTGACGAGAGCATCGCCATCGACCATGGCTGGCGAGCCACTCCGATCAATGGTACTGGTCGCGAAGGTTGATGGCAAGGGCGCGGACCCAAGTGCCCAGGTTGGGACAGCAGCGGTGTCGCGTCTTTTGGTGTTTGTGATTGTTTGAGGTGCGCCGTGGCTTGGTTCTAAGTTCGCGGTCATCACCATATGCATTTTGATGCAAGACAGATGCTCCCTGCTCTTCTGTTTTGAATACAAGTATGTTTCGTGAAGATGTATATTCTGAAATGTAAAAGTGTGAATCTGATTTGAGCGCGGAAAAAAGGGGGGCATGCACGACAGCGCAAAACAGAGTAAAAACTTTGGAGTTCAATTAGTGCCGCAGCCGTGGATCGAACACGGGACATCCCGCTTACAAGGCGGGCGCTCTGCCACTGAGCTACAACGGCTTGATAACAAGATATCAAATACAAAATATCAAACTTGAAAAAGTGATAACGTTTGATCTGGAGTACTGCAATTAACGCCGCGCTGCGCCTCCTCTATTGTAAACAAACTCATTGATTTCAGTTCCACTATGATAATCGCAAGCGAAGCGTGCGATGCGGCCCAGGTCGCCCCAGGGGGACAGGGACATGGACATTGGATCTGGCAGATATAACTCAGGCAGTGGATCTCTCGTGGATCCACCACTCAAACAGGGCCCAATTTCAGCGGATGAGTTTTCCTGTCGGTCTCCATCTATTCTGTCGGTTAGTCTTGGGGGAACAGCCTTGGTGCCCTTGTGGGGTGGGGTGACTTGTAATGTCTGCCCACCAGCAAGGCCGCCCAACACACCACTTCTCATCTGTTCGCGCCGCCCAGCACCTCCCAAAAAAGGAAACAGGCTTCGTCGGCCGAAAGGGAGCAGGGGAGCCGCGAAGATGACGGCAGGAATAAGGATCAGGAGGTCGTCAGTGGCTGGATGGACGACACAATGGAGTGGAGAAGAGAGAGTCCATTCTTACAACTTGATATAAAATCAGTAAGGAGAGGAGGAGGTGAAAGCTGTCCGCTTTTGCATTAAGAGACTGGACGCGCGCCGTCCTGGTTCCTGGCTGATTGCTCTTCATGGCCTATGGTTGCCTTTGTCTGTGATTTCATCTTGAACAATGGAAAGTGCTTTAGTGACAGGCGAGATGCTTGGCGATCGTTGCTTCATCGTTTGGCTTCAGTGCACCATTCTCCCTCTTCTTTGCAAGCGCAGACCGGCGAATCAAGCCCGAATGAATATCTACTGCAGTTGCGTTGTGGGGACCAAAATATACAAGCACGCTGCTCTCCTCTTCTCTTGTCTGCACCTGCCGCTCAAGCGGTCTTACATGACCTTGTCGTACTGGATGCCGTCGTGCGACCCGCCGCGCAACGTGCGCGATACAATCTGGGCAAAGGTCTGGCGGTTGGCGCGGAGCGAGGCGGCAGCGGCTAGATAGATCATCCAGTTCGAGTTCGTCGCGTCAGTCTCAACCCACCCCATTCCGCATCACGTCGCCCAAATGAACACGGTACCCTTGTTGAGCGGATCATCGGCATTCGGTTCCAGGAACAGGTACTGCAACCCAACGAGCACGGCGTTCAGGTTGAGCACGGGCTTCCAGTCCTCGCGCAAGATGTTCAAGCAAATCTTGCCGTCGACGTCAATGTTTGGGTGGTAGATCTTGTGCGTGCAGAGCACCTTGGGCGGGTCGTGCGGGTAGTTGGCGTTGATGTCGAACGTGAACGTGAAGGAGGCGCCCGTGTAGAACCCTTCGTCGGGCGTGATGGTCACGGTGAAATGCAGAAGGTCGTTTGGGTCCGGGTGGTGCATCGACATGGTCTTGGGCAGGTCGAGCTCGTCGAGGTCTATCGCGGCGTGGGTAGATGGGTTGGTCGTCAGCCGCGGTGTCGACGATGCGTGCTGCGCGCGGTCAAGCGGCACGCACCCTTTTGCACGCGGATCTGCGCGGCGGAGACGGCCGATTTCTTCTTGTCGGCGTTTTCGTGTTTTTGCTTGCGCAGCGAGCTGATCTTGATCATGGTGGGCGGGGTGGGGTGGGGTGGGTTGCGACGGTTGGCAGGCCGAGGTCGGGTGTGGTGCGTGTTGACGCCGGGGGGTTTGCGCGATCGGGCGGGTCGAAAACGCGGGAAGCGGGTCGCAGCGGCGGTCGGTTGGGTCGGCAGGCGGATGCAGCGGGTCTTGGTCCAAGTCGCGGATGGGTGCGGACGGAGAGAGCGTCGCTCGCGGCTTCAGGTCGCCGACGGGTCCGCGCGGTCTGGTGGTGGACCAGCTGCAGACCCGGGAGAACACGTCACTCGCGCGTGCCGGCAGGGGGCGCATGCAGCGCGTCACCCCATCGCGCGCGCACCTGACGAAGGAGCGCCGGGGCGAGTCTGGGCGCGAGCGATCACGAGCCACCACACGCGACCGACCCGAAAAAAGACGCGCCACTGCCAACGCCGCCGTCGGCGGCCGCGGCGCACGGGCGCACCCACCGCGCGCCGGCCCGTCGTCGACGCCGACCCCCACGCCGCCGCACCCGCGCGCCCCCACGCCCACCACTCGGCGCAGTGCGCCGCCCGCCACGCCCGCCGACTCCTCCCCCGCGCGCACGCCGCGGTGCCGTCGCGCCAGCCGTCCCTTTCAGACCGGCCCCGGTGCCGCCGTTCGGCCCCACGCGCACCGTCACCCCATTGCTTGCCGCCGCTTCCATTGCCTGCGCGTCCGCGTCCGCGTCCGTGGGCCGCGCGCACGCCGTCGTTCTCGAGAGTGCATGGCCTCGTCCGCCGCCGTCGGCTTCGGCAGCAGCAGCGGCAGTCTGCCAGTCAGCCGCGGTGCTGGCCCGAGTCTCGACGCCGACGTGCTGCACCATGTCAACTCGCCGCGCCTGCTGCCCACGAACATCTCCACCACCACGCTCACCACCGACAAGCTCCCCGCCGTCCTCGACGCGCTGCCGCACCCGCGCGTCGACGCGCCCAACCACCGCAAGCTCACGGCCTCGCCGCCAACGCACTCGCCCTCGCCGCGCCTGCCGGCCCTTGCGCTCCGAACCGATCTCAACGCTCCACGGTCCCCGTCGCGCCACCGCACCGCCTCCACCGCGTCGACCTCGCGCCGAGCACGCATCTCAGCAACTGCCAACGCGCCCGCTCACCTCTGGTCGCCGCGGCTGCTGAATGCCGCCGCGGCCGATATGGGCCACCCGGACGACGTGCCTGTCGGTCCCTCCGCCTCGTCGTCGTCGACCCACGCGCGCCGCCGGTCCCTGCGCATCGTCCCGACCACGCCTACCGCATCTGCACGATCGCACTCGCGCGCACCGCCCGCCCCACATCCAAGAACACGCACCCCGTCGGCATGGCGCCGCGCGTCCGCGTCGTCGACATCCACCACCGCATCCACCGCGTCCTCGTCGTCATCGCATGCCGCGGGCACTGCCGCCGCCCGCGCAGGCGCCGCGGCTGCGTCCACCTTGACCGCCGCGATCCGCGCGAACCGCATGCTCGCGGCCGACGACGACGACGGCGCGCCCTTCTCGCACCATGCGGCACTCGCCTCGATTTCCGCGCGCCAGCCGTTGCCGTTCGTCTCGCTCGTCCCGCCCGCCGCCATCAACACCGACGCGTTTGCCCCGCCGCCACCGCCCAGAACCGTGCGCCGCAGGGACCCGTCAAGGCGCGGATCGACGCACGCGTCCCGCCCGCCACCAACCGTGCGCGCACGGTCGGTCCGGCGCACGCCAACGACGGCGGTAGTGGCCTCGGTGGCAGCGGCAGCTCCATGGCCTGCAGCCGCATTGTGGCGGCACTTGGTCGTGCAGGCCCGGCGCGCGCAGGCGGACGTGCCGCAGTGGGTGGATGCGGTACTGGTCCAGCCGTCACGCGCGGCGCTGCAGCGTGTCGCCGAGCTGGCGACGGGCCAGGTCGCGACGGCCGCGCAGCGGATCTTGGATCAGGATGAACGGGTGCCGGGGTTGATTGCCTCGATTCGGTACGGTTTCTTGTCCCCGTTTGTGAAGAGGGCGAGCTAGTTTCCTGACCGAGCTGATTTTGGTGCTGTAGTCGCGAAGTCCGCGCTCGTCGCGACGCACGGACCTCCGCCTTCCGCCGCCGCGGGGACTCGGTCGCCCCCACGATCTCTCGACGGCGCGTGCGTGCGCGGTCCCGCGCACCTGGTGCTTCTTCTTCGTCAAGGGGTACCAGCACGCGCACGACGTCCGTCGCCAATACCGCTCCCGCATCGACCGCTGGCGACCTGGACGACGTCGACGACGAAGTCCCCACGTTACGTGCGGCCGGACGCATGGCAAGGCGCATCGTCGCCGCGCTCGCGGACCGCGCGACCGTCCGGTGGCGCGCACTGCCGACGACCGTCGCGAATGGGCCGTTTGAGGCGCTGGCCGCGGCACTCGCGGACGCGATGGCGATTGATGAGCCGCCGCCGTTGGCGGTACCCGCGGTCGTGGAACCGGTGAGGCCGGATCGCCGTGTACAAGAGAGTGGGACGCCGCCGGTCGCGAGTGCGGCGGAGGGGGGAGATGCGCGACGGCTTGCGGTGCCGCAGGTGGTGATGAACGGGGACGGGTACATGACCGTGGACGACAGCGAGGAGGACGATTTAACGATGATACCCGCCGTGGTCGTCGTGGCCGCGTCGGACGTCGGGCGCGTACACGAGGCTGGCACACCGACCAGTTCGCGTCTTGCGTCGCTGGCAGGGTCCCGTGCCGGATCGCCCGCCCCACCGCCGCCGTCACCGTTGCCGACCCTCGCTTCGCCACCGACGGCCCCGCGCGCACGGACGTTGTCGAACACGTCGACCACGTCCGTGGCACCCGCGCCCACCATTCCGCGCACCGCATCCCCCGCACCCGCACCCGCACCCGCACCCGCACCCGCACCCGCACCCGCACCCGCACCCGCACCCGCACCCGCACCCACGCTCCTCGCCCCACCCCCCGCCGCCCCACGCGCACGGACGCTCTCCAACACCTCGTCCACTGGCGCGACCATCGGCGGCGGCGGCCACCACGCCGCCGCTCCGTCCTCTTCCCCACCACCGGCCATGCCCAACCCGGACCCCGACGCCATGTCCGACCTCGCCATCGAGGACGAGCACGGCACGCACCCGGTCCCGGACCGACGCACGTCCCTCGCTCCCGCGCCGGGCCCGTTGGCGATGATGGGCGCCGTGCGCGACGCGCCGATGGCCATGGACCCGGCCGCCGTGCACCGGTGGTTGGCGGGGGTCGCGGCGCCGCCGGCCGCGGTTGTGTCGGCGGTTTCGGCGCCGGTGGGGGGGAGCGGTGGGAGGTCCCGGCGGCGCGGGGCGGGGATGATGCCGACGATCGCCGAGCACTCGGACTCCTCCGATACCGACTCGACCGCGTCGAGTTCCGCCGGATCCATCACCACCACCACCGCCACCACC